TATATAGAAAGATGTCATTTTTGAGTTAAAAACAGCCTTTTTTCAAATTCAACGAGATATAACTCTAAAATGGCACAAGATTTCGCACTGTGACTTAAACCATTCGATTCTTTAAAGTTTTCAAATTCTATGGGACAATTTTCAGACCGTATACTCGATCCGTTTAGTATGAAAGGACGAATGTATAGAAAAGTGTAATTTTTTACTTGAAAACAGCCTTCTTTGAAATTTAACGAGACATAACTCCAAAACGGCACAAGATTCTGCATTGCGGTTTCAAGATTCGATTCTTCCAAGCCTTATAATTCTATGGACAAATTTTGCGACTGAATACTCAATCCCTTTAGGATAGAGAAATGAATATATAAAATGATCTAATTTTTGAGTTATAAATAAACTTTTTCAAATTTAACGGGATATACCGCCAAAACAGCACAAGATTCCGAACTGGCACTCGAAGAATCCAATTCTTTGAAGACTTTTGGCACCATGGTCATATTTTCAGACCAAATACTTGATCCGTTTAGTTTGAAAAGATGAATATGTAGAAAGGTGTCATTTTTAGCTAAAAAACATTCTTTTTTCAAGTTTAACGAGGTAAAACTCTAAAAGGGCACAAGGTTCCGCACTGAGAGTTAAACCATTCGATTCTTTGAAGTTTTATAGTGCTGTGGGTATATTTCCAGACCGAATACTCGATCTATTTAGTATGAATAGATGAATATGTCGGAAAGTGTAGTTTTTGCCTTATAACCAGCCATTTTTCAAGTTTAACGAGAGATAATTCCAAAACGGCACAAGATTTCGAACTGCAACAAGAATAATTTGATTTGTGGAAGACTTTTAGTACTATGTTTAGATTTTCAAACCAAATACTCGATCCGTTTATTATGGAGCGACAAATATATAGAAAGGTGTCATTTTTGAGTTAAAAACAGCCTTTTTTTCAAATTTAACAAGGTATAACTCTAAAATGGCACAAGATTCCGCACTGTGACTTAAATCATTCGATTCTTTGAAGTTTTTTAGTTCTATGGGACAATCTTCAGACGGTATACTCGATCCGTTTAGTTTGAAAAGATGAATATGTTGAAAGGCGTCATTTTTGAGCTAAAGAACATCTTTTTTTCAAGTTTAACGAGGTAAAACTGTAAAACGTCACAAGGTTCCGCACTGAGGCATAAACCATTCGATTCTTTGAAGTTTTCTAGTACTGTGGGTAAATTTTCAGACCGAATACTCGATCTATTTAGTATGAATTGATGAATATATCGGAAAGTGTAGTTTTTGACTTAAAAAAAGCCATTTTTCAAGTTTAACGGAGCATAATTCCAAAACGGCACAGAGATTTCGAACTGCGACTCGAAGGATTCGATTTCTTGAAGACCTTTAGTACTATGCTTAGATTTTCAGACCAAATACACGATCCGTTTAATATGGAGAGCCAAATATATAGAAAGGTGTCATTTTTGAGTTAAAAACAGCCTTTTTTCAAATTTAACGAGGTATAACTCTAAAATGACACAAGATTCCGCACTGTGACTTAAACCATTCGATTCTTTGAAGTTTTTTAGTTCTATGGGACAATCTTCAGACCGTATACTCGATCCGTTTAGTATGAAGAGACGAATATATAGAAAAGTGTAATTTTTTATTTAGAAACAGCCTTTTTTTCAATTTAACGAGGCATAACTCCAAAACGACACAAGATTCTGCATTGCAGTTTCAAGATTCGATTCTTCCAAGCCTTATAATTCTATGGGCTACTTTTCAGACTGAATACTCGACCCCTTTAATATAGAGAAATGAATATATAAAAAGATGTAATTTTTGAGTTATAAATAACCTTTTTTCAAATTTAACGGGTTATACCTCCAAAACAGCACCAGATTCCGAACTGCGACTCGAGGAATTCGATTCATTGAAGACCTTTAGTACTATGTTCAAAGTTTCAGAGCCAATATTCGATCCGTTTAGTTTGGAGACCGAAATATGTAGAAAGATATGATTTTTGAGGTAAAAATTGCCCTTTTTCAAATTTAACGAGGCATAACTCCAAAACGGCACAAGATTTCGCATTGCGGTTTGAAGCATTCGATTCCTTGAAGCTTTATAATCCTGTGTCTAAATTTCCAGACCGAATACTCTATCCATTTTGTATTGAGACATGAATATATAAAATGATGTCATTTTTGAGTTATAAATAACCTTTTTTCAAATTTAACGGGTTATACTTCCAAAACAGCACCAGATTCTGAACTGCGACTCGAGAAATTCGATTTCTTAAAGACCTTTAGTACTATGTTCAAATTTTCAGACCCAATATTCGATTCGTTTAGTTTGGAGAGATAAATATGAAAAAAGATATGATTTTTGAGTTAAAAATAGGCTTTTTTTCAAATTTAACGAGGCATAACTCCAAAACGGCACAAGATTTCGCATTGTGGCTTAAAGTATTCGATTCCTTGAAGCTTTGTAATATTATGGGTAAATTTCCAGACCGAATACGCTATCCATTTAGTATTTAGAAATGAATATATAAAAAGATGTCATTTTTGAGTTATAAATAACCTTTTTTCAAATTTAACGGGTTATACCTCCAAAACAGCACCAGATTCTGAACTGCGACTCGAGAAATTCGATTTCTTAAAGACCTTTAGTACTATGTTCAAATTTTCAGACCCAATATTCGATTCGTTTAGTTTGGAGAGATAAATATGTAGAAAGATATGATTTTTGAGTTAAAAATAGGTTTTTTTTCAAATTTAACGAGGCATAACTCCAAAACGGCACAAGATTCCGCATTGTGGTTGAAAGTATTCGATTCCTTTTATCATTTTTTACGACTGACATTTTGCAAAATTTCAATAAATTAAGATTAGACGGATTATAACAAAAATACAGGGTGATTTGGCGTAAATGACGAATTTCAAAAATATCATAAATCCATGAAGTCTGTGATTTTAAAAACGTCAACACAAAGTGTCACTGTCACGCATTAGATTTAAAATAAAGGTTAATGGAAATAATTCTCTGAAAATGGGTTCCGCGAATCCATCGCGGATTTTCTAGTGCGTAACAAATTAATAATGTAAACTGCGTTTGTTTACATTGCCAGTGTTGGAAAATTTGTCTTCATCACTAAATAAAATTTAAGAAGGGTAAAGAAGAAAACTAAAAAGTTATGTGAAATAAAAATTTTTTCTAACCTAAAATAATTGTTTCTGTAAACAATTTGTGGATTAAAATATAAGTTTTACAATGTCATTGGCAAAGAGATTTAATCTTAGTGATCTAGAAAGAAAAAAAAAACAGATTAAGAGACAGTTTAGAGTGGCAACAAATTTAGAGCATACTTCCAGGTCTGAATCAGTGAACAGAGAGGAAATGATTTTAGATGAATTTTTCTAACTACTCTTGACTTACTTAGTAAGACAGGAATTAATAGTAATTGTTAACAAATTATTTTAGTTATGATCATTATTTCAGAACCTCAACTATAATCACAAAAAATCAAAATAATTCAAATAGTAATAAAAGAGCACTTAACGGTTGAATGTTTTTTTCCAAATTTAACACAAATTACGTGTATAATATCTAGTACAATTAAGCTAAGTAGTTAATTTGTAATATGATCGCACTCTTTTTTGACAGTTTGAATTAGACTTTAAAACCCATAGATAAAATTTTGTACGCCACTCGTAGACTAAAGCATCTGATTAATAACCAACTATTTATTAGGATTCAAAGTATCGAATAGCAGAATAAAAACCCAAAGCCATTATTTATCTTCACACACGATCATTTTTGCCTTAACTGCAGCTCCTAGGCGTGTCCCACCGTCGTCTCTATTTTAAACCTTGATAAAAATTGATTTAGCAGAGACACAAGATATCAAGGTGACTTTGTGGTTGTTAGTTCCAGTTCAGGTGTCAAAGTTAACGTGCGAACAGCGCCTTCGCCTAACAAGAATATTTCGTATTGTTGAATAGTGGAAATATCTGCATATCATGTACACTGATGAATGATTTCGTACTTCCGTTTACAAAAACAGCATACTTGAAAACGCCATTGTTTTCGGGACTAATTAATCGTGGATGAAGCGATTAAACTGCTATTTTTGGGACGCTATTACCAGACTTAATGGAGTTTGAAATTTGATGAGTCCACTTTTTGCAAGTTGGATGGGAAGGGGGAACTGGTTCCATTCGTTGGCGGATTTTTTTGGGAAGATTAAATATTGAAAACAAATTTATACCGGACGTGTCACCGAGCAGCCTTGACTTGGGGCGTTTTTGTTGATATATATTTGTTGAGATTAATTATTTTGTTTATAAATCAATTAGTTTTCTATTAATTGGCATCGGTTGCGTCACTTTCTGGAAAGATTCTGAGGTTTGTTAAAAAAACAATAAAGTCGTAATTAAGTTACAAGAAATGTGGCCTCTAGTTAATTTTGGACAAGGTCGCTGCATGTAAGGTCCGATCTTAGTTAAGGCGAAATCGACATTATATCACTGCGAATCTCTTGTATGTGCTAATTCATTGACATTTAGGAAGCTTTTACGAATGCATTTTCACTTAATATAAAACGGTCTTTAAAAATAGCAGATAAAGGCTTATGTAAGACCCAGAGGAATAATGCACCTATTAATTAAGTGACATAACTGATAATTGATTAGATTTAACTTACAACTTAAGTCTGGTAGAAATGTTGCGTTCGAACAATCTTATTTACTTGCTTTTTTCGAGCCCCATTCTTTTTCTTCACTTGACTCTGAAATAATAACTTTCGCCAGAGACATTTGCACTGCGTACAAAACAGTCATTTTGCCAAGAATAAAAGCTCAAATTGTAGCAACTTTCATCTTTTTTAACGGCGATGATTAAGGTCATTTCAAGTGAAAAATTCAACGAAAAATACGTTTTTCTAATTTGCATATTTCGTAAATACCTGTACAGCAGTTATTAACTCGTTTGGGAAAAAAAAGAAGCTGAACTGGATTCTTATAATTAACTTATATTTTTAACATAAGAATGAAATGAAAAAAGTACCTCCACCATCCCATACATTCCATTCTTTTTGGAATGAGATCACAAGCCGAAAAAGTTCAAGTAGGAATAAATTAAATAAATATAGAGAGTCTAGGTTGTAGGCGGTTTTCTAGTTGGTTTAGCTGAAACAAATACGGTTGAATAAACGGGTGAAAAAAGGGGAATTTCCAGAGTTTACCATTTTGCGAGATGCGGTTGTAAACACTTGTCGCTGTGGGTGTCGTAGGATAGACCTAGTGGACACTGGACTACTTCGGATCCACCGTCGTGACACAGGCACGCAGCCGTGCATTGTGGGTTGAGGGGAAACACGGAGCCGGGCTTACAGCCGTCTATTTTTTCCATAAAATCTGAAAAAACGGCGAAATTTCAAAATTTTTGTTAGAATTTTCAGCCAAAGAATGTGTAACTTGAGATAGAATAATTTTGAAACTGAAATGCTGTAGTGAAAAATTATAAGACCTGCGACGAGAGCACTAGATGGCGCCACTCTGCAGATCTACCATGGCAAACTAAGATTTACCGGGGTATTTGATTGATTCTGCTAACCTCAAAAATTCGTTGGGTAACTAGCGCTATCTAGTGTCATTTTCTTTAACGAAATGGAATTAAAGTTCATCTTTTTATCAAAGAGGCCGTGGTTTTGATTGATTAAAGGTGTCCATTTTGTCAACTTGGAACATTTATATATATGTAAAAAATATAAAACTGAAAAATTACAAAATTATAATATTGAAAAATTGGATAATTGTAGAATCGAAATATTATGAAACTGTGAAACTGAAAAATTGCAATAATATTAAACTGAAAATCGAATAATTTTAAAATCGAAAAATTGTTAATTGTGAAACCCCCAAAAATTCTAAAAATGTGAAACTGAAAAATTAAAAAAGTGTAAAATCAAAAAATTGAAAAATAATTAAACCGAGAAATCAAAAACTTAAAAAATTAAAATTGATATTTTTACAATTACAATTAAAACGATTAAAAGTCAAAAAATTGGATAATCGTAAACTTCAAAGTTTATTACTGCAAAAATGAAAAAATCGAGGGATTGGAAAATCTGATAATAAAAAAAAACGAATTAACTAAAAAGGGGACAATTGAAAATTCGGGAAACTGTAAAAACATAAAACTGAGAAATCAAAAAATTGCAAAATTATAAAACTGAAAAAGCAAAAATTTGGAAAATTGTGAAGCGACATTTTGACCTGTTAAAAGTCGAAAAATTAGAAAATCCAAACAATGATATTCGAATAAATAAAAAATCAAAAATTGAAAAACCATTACCTTTAAAATTGAAAAATTGCAAAATTATAAAATTGGAAAATCAAAAGCTGTAAAATCCAAAAAATCCTGAAAATTTAAAAAATTAGGAAAAACCAAAAATTCCTGAAAATCTTGACAATCCAAAAAATTCTTATTTTATCTTAAAATCCAACATTTTTAAGAACGAAAAATTGTAAAATAACGAAACTGAAAAACCAAAAATTTGAAAATTAGAATTGATATTTTGAACAATTAAAAATTTTAAATATTAACCATGACATTTTGGGTAACTAAAAAACTGAAAAATGTTCAATAAATTAGAGAATCCAAAAAATCTGGAAAATCCAAAAATCCAGAATATTCAAAAATCTGGAAAATTCAAAAAATCTGGAAAATCCAAAAATCTGGCAAATCCAAAAAATCTGGAAAGTCCAAAAAAATGTGTAAAATATAAAGAACCCAAAAAATCTGGAAAAACCAAAAGATCTGGAAAATCTGGAAAAATCTAAAAAATCGGGAAAATCCAAAAAACTGAAAAATCCAAAAAATCTGGAAAATCCGGAAAGTTAGGAGAATCCAAAAAATCTGGAAAACTCAAAAAATCTGGAAAATCCAAAAATCTGGCAAATCCAAAAAATCTGGAAAGTCCAAAAAAATGTGTAAAATATAAAGAATCCAAAAAATTTGGAAAAACCAAAAGATCTGGGAAATCTGGAAAATCCAAAAAATCGGGAAAATCCTAAAAACTGAAAAATCCAAAAAATTTGGAAAATCCGGAAAATTATGAGAATCCAAAAAATCTGGAAAATCCAATAATCTGGAAAATCCAAAAATCCGGAATATCCAAAAAGTCTGGAAAATTCAAAAAAATCTGGAAAGTCCAAAAAAATGTGTAAAATATAAAGAATCCAAAAAATCTGGAAAAACCAAACGATCTGGAAAATCTGACAAACCAACAAAATCGGGAAAATCCAAAAAATCTGGAGAATCCGGAAAATTAGGAGAATCCAAAAAATCTGGAAAATCCAAAATATCCGGAAAACCAAAAAATCTGAAAAATCCTGAAAATTAAAAAAATCTGGAAAAACCAAAAAAAGAGAAATCAAAAACTTGAAAAATTAAAATTGATATTTTGACAATTACAATTAAAACGATTAAAAGTCAAAAAATTGGATCCAAAGTTTATTAAACTGCAAAAATGAAAAATTTGCAAAAAATCGAGGAATTGGAAAATCTGATAATAAAAAAAGAAATAAAAAAAAACTAATTCACTAAAAACGGGACAATTGAAAATTCGGAAAATTGTAAAAATATATAACTTTGAAATCAAAAAATTGCAAAATCCTAAAACTGAAAAAGCAAAAACTTGGAAAATTGTAAATCGACATTTTGATATGTTAAAAGTCGAAAAATTATAAAATCGAAACAATGAAATTCGAATAAATGAAAAATCCAAAAATTGAAAAACCCTTACCTTTAAAATCGAAAAATTGCAAAATTATAAAATTGGAAAAACAAAATCTTGGAAAATTGGAAAGCGAGATTTTGATATATTAACAATCAAAAATTAGAAAATCGAAAGGATAACTGAAAAGCCAAAAATTGGAAAATTGCTACAATGAAATTTGGATGATTGAAAAGGCAAAAACTGAATAATTGAAAAAAAAACAAAAAAAAATTTGAAACGAAGAATATAAAATTGGAAATTCAAAAATTGATTAAATAAAACCCGAATAATTGAGACATCCAAAAACTGTATACATGTAAAATTGAAAAATAAAAAAGTATAAAATCGAAGAATTAAAAAATTGAGTATCTTTAGAAACGAGAAATTGTAAAATAATTATAAACTGAGAAATCAAAAACTTAAAAAATTAAAATTGAAATTTTGAACAATTCAAAGTAAAACGATTAAAAGTCAAAAAAAAAAATGAAAAATTGGATGATCGTAAGCTCCAAAGTTTACTAAACTGTAAACATGAAAAATTTGCATTTGGTTCCACAACCGAAAAATTAAAAAATCGGGGAATTGGAAAACCAAATATTTAAAAAACCAAAAAACTGAGTCATTAAAAACGGGACAATTGAGAAATCGAAAAACTGTAAAAATATAAAACTGAAAAATCAAAAAATTGCAAAATTATAAAATTGAAAAATCAAAAACTTGGAAAATTGGAATTCGAAATTTTGAAATATCAAAAGTGAAAAAATTAGAAAATCAATACAATGAAATTCCGATAATCAAAACTGACAAACCGGACACCTTTAAAAACGAAAAATTGTAAAATAATTAAACTGAAAAATCGAAACCTTGAAAAATTAACACTGATAACTTGAACAATTAAAAATCAAAAAATTGAAAATTTTAAAATTACGGAAGTAAAAAGCTGGATAATTGTAAAATCGAAAAATTAATGAACTGTAAAAATGGAAATTTGCAAAATTATAGAATTGAAACATCAAGTTAAAAAATGGAGATATTGAAAAATCTGATAACTATAAAGTCAAAAATTTTGAAATCTAAAAATTCTAAAATTTGAAAGTCAAATAATTGAAAATTGAAAAATCAAAAAATTGAAAAATTATAAAATTGGAAAATAAAGAAGTTGGGAAATTGGATATCGAAATTTTGATACATTAAAAATCAAAATATTAGAAAATCGAAAAATAAAATTCGAATAACTGAAAAATCAAAAATTGAAAAACCGGAAACCTTTAAAGACGAAAAACTGTAATATAATTAAATAGAAAGATTGAAAATTTGAAAAAATAAAGTTGATATTTTGAATAATTAAAAATCAAAAAATTATCATTAACTTAAAAAATCAAGGAATTGAAAAATCTAAAAATTTTGAAATCGAAAAAGTTCTAAGATTGATTCACTAGAGGCCGGACAATTGAGAAATCAAACAATTGTAAAAATATAAAAATGAAAAATCAAAAACTTGAAAATTGTTAAATTTCAAAATTGAAAAACTGGATAATTGTAAACTCGAAAATTTATTAAACTATAAAAATGAAAAATTGCAAAATTATTAAATTGAAAAATCTAACAAGTGAAAAATGGAGGAACTGGAAAATATACATATTATTTGGAAAATTAAAAATTGAAAAAATTATTCATTAAAAAAGGGACATTCGAAGAATTGTAACAACATAAAATTAAAAAATCCGAAAATTCTAAAAACCTTATAATTTTAAAATTGAAAAATCTGACAATTGTAGAATTGAAAAATTACAAAATTGAAAAATCGAAAAATTGCTAAATTATAAAATTAAAAACTTTGAAAATTGGAAATCCAAATTTTAAAATATTAAGAATCACAAAATTAGAAAATCACAACAATGAAATTCGGGTAACTAAAAAATTGAAAAATGTTCAATAAATTAGAAAATGCAAAAAATTTGGAAAATCCAAAAAATCTGGAATATCCAAAAAGTTTGGAACATCCAAAAAATCTGAAAAATTAAGAAAATCTATAAAATCCAAAAAATCTGGAAAATATAAAAAATTTGGAAAATATAAAAAATCTGGAAAATTAAAAAAATCTGGAAAATCTAGAAAATCCAAAAAAATCTGGAAAATCCAAAAAAATCTGGAATATTAAAAAAATCTGAAAAATCTGGAAAATCCAAAAAAATCTGGAAAGTCCAAAAAATCTGGAATAACCAAAAAATCTGGAAAATCCAAAAAATTGGGAAAATCCAAAAAATCTGGAAAATCCAAAAAATCTGGAAAAACCAAAAAATCTGGAAAATACAAAAAATCTGGAAAAACCAAAAAATCTGGAAAATCCAAAAAATCTGAAAAAACCAAAAAATTTGGAAACTCCGGCAAATCGAAAAAATTTGGGAAATTAAAAAATCTGGAGAAACCAAAAGATCTGGAAAATCTTGAAAATCCAAAAAATTCTCATTTTACTTATCTTAAAATCGGATATTTTTAAAAACGAAAAATTGTAAAATAATGAAACTGAAAAACCAAAAATTTGAAAATTAAAATTGATATTTTGAACAATTAAAAAATTAAAACTCCATAAAAAGTTAAAAATTTGAAAAATTGGACAACGGTAAGCTCCAAATTATTAAACTATAAAAATGAAAAATTTGCAGAAATATTTAATTGAAAGTTCGAAGGATTCCAAAACTGAAAAATTAAAAAATTGAGAAAATGGAAAATATAATAACTAAAAAATAAAAAAAAGCTGATTCATTAAAACGGGAATTCGAAAAATTGTAAAAATATAAAACTGTAAAATCAAAAAATTGCAAAATCCTAAAATTGAAAAATCGAAAAACTGCAAAATTATAAAATTGATAAGTAAAAAAATGGAATTCGAAAATTTGAAATATTAAAAGTCAAAAAATTAGAAAATTGAAATTAAAAAATATCGAATATCAAACAATTGAAAGTTGAAAAAAAAAATGGTAGAATTATAAAATTGGAAAATCAAAAACTTAGAAAATTTCAAATCGAAATTTTGATATATTAAAAATCAAAAATTAGAAAATCGAAACAATAAAATTCGGGTAACTAAAAAACCGAAAACTTGAAAAATTAAAATTGAAATTTTGAATAATTAAAAATCAAAAGAATGAACATTGTTAAATTCCAAAATTGAAAAACTGGATAATCGTAAACTCAAAAATTTATTAAAACGTAAAAATGAAAAACTGCAAAAATAATAAATTAAAAAATCGAACAACTGAAAAATGAAAAATCGAAAAATTGAAAAATCGAAGGATTCCAAATCCGAAAATTTGAAAAACCCAGAAAGTGGAAAATCTGATAATTAAAAAATCAGACATTTGTAAAATAGAAAAATTACAAAATTGCAAAATGATGAAATTGAAAAATCAAAAACGTGGAAATTTGGAAATAAAAATTTTGTAATTTTAAAAATCACAAAATTAGAAAATCGAGACAATGAAATTTGAATAACTGAAAAATCAAAAATTGAAAAACCGGACACCTTAAAAGTAAGAATTGTAAAATAATTTTAAACTGAAAATTGTGAAATTACAAAATTGAAAAACTGAAAAATGAAAAATCGAAAAATTCAAAAATCGAAGAGTTGGAAAATATATCAATTGAAAAATCAAACAAAAATTGAAACAATCATTTTTAAAAGCGGACAATCGAAACACTAATTATCAGAAAATTCTAAATTACAAAATTAAAAAATCTAAAAATTGCAAAATTATAAAACTGAAAAATGAAAAAATTGGGAATCGAAATTTTGAAATATTAAAATCGCAATACTGTTTTGTCTTAAAATCGGATACCTTTAAAACTCAAAAATCAAAAACTTGGAAAAATGAAAGTAAAATCGAAAAATTACAAAATAGTAAAACTGAATCATCATTAAGGTTAGCAGAATAAATTTCAATAATGAAATTCAACACAAATATTACTAATCTTATATGCAACCAACAATACACTTTGCAAAATTTATTTTTATAAGAATTAACGTTAACATTTAGGTCTAAATTTCGACCAACATCGATTCTCATACTGTACCTTTGGGAACATTCGACAAAAAGTTCGCCCTTGGACTAAATATCAACGGTTCTTTGCTACAATCCACTCGGTCAGCATAATCACACACTCCTATATTCTGAAAACCAAAAATAACAAATAAACAACTTCGCATTTTCACAAACCCTTACATCATTAAAGCTAAATCCCTCAGGACAATTATAATTGGCAACCACTTTCCCACCAATACACGTAAAATAGTGAGAACAGTTCGCCTTATCCCTGAAAGTACCAAAAGCTATAGGACACTCCTCATCCATTGTTATTCCATTCCCTAAAAGCTCACTTAAAATTAAAAACCCCCACAAAGCTACGAAACATTATTACTTGCTGGAACCGCCAGATTTTGACAGTCAACATTACTAGGAAAATCACAGTAGCCTTTATTTGAGAAAAGTAGTCCTTCAGGACATTCCTGTTCAAGGACGACGTCGTCCCAACAGTTGACATACTTATTGCAAGCGTTACTCCGGAACTGACCTCTAGGTTTGAGACACTTCTTACGCAGAGTAGGATCAACTGTAAATTTATTATTAATAAAAACTTAAAAAGGAAACTAATCAAGATCGTACTTGTAGGTAACGTGACAATCACTGTAGGAGGAGCCGCAGTTGTGACAGTTGTGGGTGCCTGGGAAGAAACCTGACCTGGTGTAGCCGTCGTAGTATCGATGGGCGTTGGAGGAGGCGGGATGGCTGTGTACATGGTACATGGTACAGTTAATAGTTATAGTGGCGCCAGATGGTGTTTTTACAGCTATGAACAAATTTGTACCTTCTATTGGCTTTCCTCCGCAGTCCACATTATACGCATAATCGCAGTATCCCTTAGGATTAAACACCAGACTCTCTGGACAGAACTGCTCCACAGCCACGCCATCCCAGCAGTTCACGTACTTGTTGCAGGAATCACTTGGAAATTGACCTCTTGGCGCCAAACATTTCCGCAGCAGGACTTCAACTACAACTCAAAAATACTTATTTTTCTTCTTAATTAAACAGGATACAGACCTGGAGCACCGGTGGTCGCAGGTCGTGGTGGTTCGAAGAGTGATAGTGGTGGAGGTTTGGGTTTCATGACTGTGTCGGGTCCGGCGGCGGCTGGAGGTGGTCTCTGTATGATGAGGTTGTCGGGTGAGATGGGCGCCGCTGGGGGTCTGAAGGTCATGAATGTGTCGGGTCCTGCTGGGGGTGGCCGGGTTGCCAGTTGGTCGGGCGAGAGAGGCGGCGACTGGGAGGTGAAGTACGAAGCTGGTATTTGGAGCCAGATGAAGTCGGGGTTGGAGGGACCCCCTGGGGGTTGGTTACCTTGGGGGGGTTTTGCGCCGGGGGGGAGGACGACGGCGACTTGGAATTGCTGGATGGTTTGTTTGGGTTTGGCGACGGGGGGTTGGGGTTGGTAGGATTGGTACTGAATTCCCATGGAAGAAGGAACAGCTGGAAAAAAAATTCGAATTTTTATAAAATTTGTTTTAGCAAAATAATTAAAATTTTTAATAACGTCAAAGTTGTGATATTGGTTTTTTTTACTTCGTAGATTTTTCAAAATTCAAACGTTTTTACATTTTATTTTCACTTTTAATAAAAATATTACAAAAAATGTCAAAAAACAAAGCGAAAATCGCAAATTTGTTATTATCATTTACGAAATTTTCTGTAAAACACTTTTGTGTGTGATGCAGTTTATCTGGTTTTATTAAAATATGAAAGAAATCACGGTTTTATTTGTTCAAAAAAATCTAAACTTGAACACAAACATGTTAAATTAGAGTTTTGATTTTCTCAAAATTTTTAGAAACATTTTTTTAATAACACCTGAAATTTCTTAAAGTATGTTTCGTTCTTCAGAAATATTTTGTTTATTTCTCGTAAATAGACAAAATGGTTTCGACTATTTTCTGATTATACAGGGTGTTACTAAACGCGTGGTCCTTGATATCTCATTAATTATTACAGATGGTAAAAACAGTTACAGATCAGAGTCTAACAGTTTTCGACATTTTCAAAATTTAACCGAAGACATTTTCTTATAGATTTCGACATCCAGGAGTTAGTTTCATTTGTTGCATAACTTCTACTATTTTTCCACGAAATATGGAAATTTTTGAATTTTTTATAAACTTGAATTTCAAAGCGAATATTTTGAAAATCATGTTCCAAGAACACAAACGTGCTATATGTTTCGAAATAACACGTCGACATCTGTATATCCAGTATTTTTGTAAATTGTTAGTCAACTTTTCCAAAATTTCAATTTCCCTTTGTGAAAATTCCACCCATTTTAACCATTTTCGAAAGTTACCTAAATATATTTTCTCGTAGATTTTGACTTCTAGAAGTTCTTACCATTTTTCCAGAATTGCCAATTAAAGTATGGCAATTTTTGGTATTTTTTTTTTAATTTGAATTTCGAGCTGAATTCATTACATTCTTATGAAAATTTCGACCCAATTTCGACCATTTGCGAAAATTACCTAAACATATTTATAAATAAATATGGCTGTGTTACTATAAACAAGCCATATTTTTCGAACAACATGTGCATCTCTATATCTCAGAATTTTTCGTTAATTTTAGGCAACTGTTTCAAAATAAAAAAATTTCAATTTTTTTGAAAACTTTGACTCTACTCAAATGATACCTTTCTATATCTTAGTCCGTTTAAATTAAACGGATCGAGTAGCCTGAAAATTTTTTTAATGTAACAAGTTTTTACATGATTAAGAGAGGCAAAATCAGTCTTATCATGGCAAGTACCGGCCCCACCCACCCAAAAAATTAAAAAATCTGACAATTGTAAAATTGAAAAATTGAAAAATCGAAAAATTAAAAACTGTGAAAATTGGAAATCCAAATTTTAAGATATTCAGAATCACAAAATTAGAAAATCAAAACAATGAAATTCGGGTAACCGAAAAATTGAAAAATGTTCAGTAAATTATAAAATGCAAAAATTCTGGAAAATCCAAAAAATTTGAAAAATCCAAAAAATCTGGAAAATTAAAAAAATCTGGGATATCCAAAAAATCTGGAAAATTAGGAAAATCTGGAAAATTCAAAAAATCTGGAAAACCCAAAAAGGTCTGGAAAATTCAAAAAATCTGGAAAATAAAAAAATCTGGAAAAACTAAAAAATCTGGAAAATCTTGAAAATCCAAAAAATTTCCATTTTAAAAAAATTAAAATTGATATTTTGAACAATTAAAAAATTAAAACGATTAAAAGTCAAAAATTGAAAAATTGGAGAATGGTAAGCTCCAAAGTTAATTAAAGTGTAAAAATGAAAAATTTGCAAAAATATTTAATTGAAAATTGAAGGACTCCAAAACTGAAAAATTAAAAAAATGAGAAAATGGAAAATGTAATAACTAAAAAATAAAAAAAAAGCTGATTCATTAAAAACGGGACAATTGAGAAATCGAAAAATTATAAAAATATAAAACTGCAAAATCAAAAAATTGCAAAATCATAAAATTGAATTAGGGAATTAACAAAAACATTTTTTTGAAGATGCCAATATTCAGAACTTACTGTCGGCTTTTTTTCCGGAAAATTCTTACCATTTTTTCAGAATCACACATTGAAATATAGAAATTTTTGAATTTTTCATAAAAATTGAATTCCATAGTGAATACATATTTCTAAAATCCTGCTCCACAACTAGAAACAGGCCATATTTTTTTAAACAGCGCGTTGATATCTATATCCCAAATTTTTTTTGTGGATTTTTGGGCAACTTTTTCAAAATCAAAATTTTTCAATACCTGACTTTTTGAAAATTTCGACCCCTTTCGACCACATTCCAAACTTATCCAAAGGCATTTTGTTGTAGATTTCGACTTCCAGAAGTTACTTTTCGCCTCATTGCGTTGCATAACTTCTACATTTTTTTTAGAATCGCCCTGACTTGACCAAACCTGATCTGATCTGACCTGTTCTAATTTTTTGGATTTAAAAAATATTTTAAAATTTTGCTGTGGGAGCATAAACACCCTATGTTTTTGGAATCAACACGACGAAATCTATATCCCAAACATTTTTGGTAAAAAGCAAAAATTTTCAGTACCCTGTGGACAAAAAAAAATAAAAAACAAATGTTACCAATTTTCAAAAATTTTGTTAAACCATAAATACTATCATCATTTGTGACATTTTTTTGTTAAAAACTTTTGTTTGAAATGTTTATTTTCTGTTTTATTCGAATGTGAAGATTTTTTTTTGTGAAACATAAACGACAATAAATAAAATCATACAAGAAAATTATTGTGGACAGATCTACTAAAATTGAAGACATATGCATAGATTATTTTTGTTGTTTTTTATTTATTCAAAGTTAATTTTCAGGCAACTTTTTCAAAATCAAAAATTTTTAGTACCAGCCTTTTACTTTTTTGAAAATTTTGACAATTTTTCGATTACCTTCGGAACTTAACAAAAACATTTTCTTGTAGATTTCGACATCTAGACGTTACTGTTTGCCTCTTTTTCTGGAAAATTTCTACCATTTTTTACAAAAATTGAATTCTAAATCTAGCTCGACGACTAAACAGGCCACATTTTTCTAAATAACACATCGATACATATTTATATTCTAGATTATTTTATGGATTTTTAGGCATCTATTTCAAAATCAAATTTTTCTCAATACCCCCTTTTTGAAAATTTCGATTCTTTTTTCACCAGTTTAGAAACTCACCTGAAGACATTTTCTTGTAGATTTCGACTTCCAGAAATTACTTTCATTTCTTGGATAACTTTTACCATTTTTCCAGAATCTTTCTAGTTTGACCTGTCCTGACCAAACTTATTTTTTTGGATTTAAGAAAAAAATATTTTCATACCAAATACTTCAAAATGCTGCACTGGAGGCATACACAAACAAAATTTTCAAACCCCCAGAGTGAAAATTTAAATTTAATTAAGGACATTTTCTTATCAATTTTTACCTCCAAAAGTTAGCGACCCACCCTGTATATCTTAAATTCAAAATATTTAAAATAAGAAAATTAGTGTAGATAGGTCAACCAACACTGAAGTATAATATGCATACATTAATTTTTTGTTTTAGTTTGTTCAAGCTTAAATTTATAATTTAAAAAAATAAACAAATGGTTCGAATCGTAAAAAAAAATAGTGAAATCATAAATAGTATCCAAGATTTGAGTCTATCGACGAAAAAAATTACAACAAACTAAAATTACTTCGAAAATTTAATTAACACCAGCCATTGCAGTATAATCAAACACAAAAAAAAACAGGAAAATTAAATAATATTAGATCATTTTTTATCAAATTAATTAAGAAAATATAATAATTCTTATTATATCGTAAAGAAATTTATTGTTGATAGATCCACCAAAATTCAATGTATATGCACAAATTATTTTTCTTGCGTTAATTTAAGTTAACTTTTAAACAAATTTTTCAAAATAAAACATTTTGAACATCTCCTTTTTTTGAAAATTTCAACCCTTTTCCGACCACATTCGGAACTTAAAAAAGGATTTGCTTGCTATCGGCATTTTTTTGGAAAATTCCTGCAACTTTTCCAAAATCGCCCACTGAAATCCGGAAATTTTTGAATTTTTTTATAAAAATTGAATTTGAAAACGAATATTTCTATAAAGTCAAGCTCCACGACCATAAGCAGGCCACATTTTTGAATTAACACGTCAATTCCCAGATATTTTGTGGATCTTTAGGCAACTTTTTCAAACTCCAAATTTCTCAGATTTTCTTTTTGAAAATTTAGATTTTTTCAACCACCTTCCAAATTCACCCAAAGACATTTTCTTGTAAATTTCGACTTCCAGAAGTTACTTTCGGATAACTTTTACTATTTTTCCAGAAACTTTCTAACCTGACCTGATCGAACCTAATTTTTGGATTTAAAAGAAAGTTATTTTCAAACCGAATATTTTAAAATCATACACTTGGGGCATAAACACGTTATGTTTTTGGAATTAGAACGACGAAATCTATATCAGAATTTTTGGGAAAAAGCAAATTTTTCAACGAAAATTTCGGCCATTTTTCGACAATTTTCAAAATATGTATAGGTAAAGACAATTGTGGATAGATCTACTAAAACTGCATATATATGAACAGATTATTTTTACTGCCTTAATTTATTTTACTCAAAGTTAATTTTTGGGCAACTTTTTCAAAATATGTAAAAATTTTGGATATCTCCTTTTTTGAAAATTTCAACCCTTTTTCGACCACCTTCGGAACTCATAAAAAACATTTGCTTGTAAATCTCGACATCCACAAATTACTATCGGCTTCTTTTTTTTTTGGAAAATTCCCGCCACTTTTCCAGAATTGCCTAGTGAGACTTGGAAATTTTGAATTTTTTACAGAAATTGAATTTCAAAAACAAATATTTATAAAATCAAGCTCCGCGACCATAAATAAGTAGGCCATATTTTTTTAATCAACGCGTCGATGTCTATATCCAGGATTTTTTTGTGGATTTTTAAGCACCTTTTTCAAAATCAAAATTTTTCAATTTCAAATTTTGAAAATTTCGGCCCTTTTTCGGCCGTCTTCCAAACTTATCCAAAGACATTCTATGAAATCTTCAACCACTTTTTGATAATTTTAACTTTTTGACAGAATTTAACTAAAAACACTTTCTTATAAATTTCGACTTTCAGAAGTGAGTAACTCACCCTGTATATCTTAAGCCCAATTCTTTAAAACAAAAAAAAATAGTGTGGACAGGTTTTTTTTGTTTTAATTTGTTCAAAGTAAAATTTTTTAAGTTCAAAAAATAAAAAACAAATATTTCGAATTTCGAAAAAATGTTTTTAAACCATAAATAATACTAAGTATCCAAAATGCTATATAAATATATATTTATTAAAAAAAAAAACTTTGGGTTAAAGTAGATTCGAACAGTTGACAAAATAAAATTCAATCTTCATCTCACAGTAAATAAAATAAACCAATGAAATTCAAAAGTGGAGAAATTTTGCTTTTGAAAAAGTTGCCGAAAAATCCCAAAAAATTCAGGGATGAAGATTTCGACACAGTAATTTCAAAAATATAGCGCATTTAAAGTCCCGGGCCAACATTTAAGAAAAATTTTGTTTGAAAAATACTAAAAAATACAAACTTCAGTTGGCTACTCTGGAAAAGTGATAGGGTTTATCGAAGAAATTGGATCGAAAGTTACTTCTGGAGGCAGAAATCTATTAGAAAATGTTTTTCGTTGAATTTGAGAATGGGCGAAATTTTCATGAAAAATTTTGCTTTTGAAAAATTCCCAAAAAATTTAGGGTGATAGATTTCGACGCACTAATTCCAAAAATATAGCGCATTTAAGGTCCCGGGAAAACATTTACGAAATAATCGGTTTGAAATCCAGTTTTTGTTTAAATCCTAAAAATTACTATATTTCAGTTGGCGATTCTGGAAAAATGATGGGAATTACCGAAAAAATGGGGCCGAAAGTGACTCTTGGAGGTCGGTCTTTGGTTGAATTTCGAAAATAGTCGAAAAGAGGCCGAAATTTTCAGAAGAATTTTGCTTTCGAAAAATTTTGCTTTTGAAAAAGATGCCGAATATTTCCAAAAAATTTGGAAATTGAAATCCAATGTTGCTGAAAAAATATTGGCTAATTTTTTAATCAAATTAATTAAGAAAATAAAAATTAGTGTTATATGATTCTAAAATAGAATAAAATAAATTAATCACTTTTAAATAATAAATTAACATTACTTTCTGGAATTCTATATCAAACTTATTGAATTATTGTTTATTAATTATTTGTTGCATGCTATACTTTTCCACTGTTATTAATAATCTTAAGTCTGAAAATTGTTAAAAAAATATTATGTACTATGTGTCAAAGCACTTTCAAAATACATTACACAGCAATAATTTTTAACATCCGATAGTTGCTAATTTGATTATCGAAATTCTGTTAAACCATCACCGTCACGTTTCGATTTAGCGTCGAAGTTAAAGAATTTCAAAAAACGTAATTTATTTATCTGTTTGCCTAAATCCAAAACTAATCCGGTTCTTTGAAAAAAAGTTGACGTGATATCACGAACCTATGCAGAAATCCTGGTCAAGAAAATTGCTTCATCTTCATTCGAACATTTTATTTCGAACGCTTATTAAATTATCGCTTAATTGATACTTGTATGAGAAAACATGTTTTAAACATAGTTTCGCTTTCAAGTTCAACTTCCATATTCACAGCGTAATACATATATTTACTTTAATAAGGTGGAATTTGCAACGTCTTCATTGTGGCAAGATCGCCAAACTAGAACTATTTTTAGTCGAAGAAGCTCCAAAAAAGAAAAAATCGATTCATATTTCAGCAATTATATCATCTTGTAGACCTCTTAAGAAGCAATTATCGCGTCGTCAGAAACGCGAATTCTTGTACAACCAGCGCTAAATGAGACTTTTGCCCTCAAAGTACCAACAAACAAACCACGACCAAACCACAAGAAAGCTTTTTTCAATTGAAACTAGTCTGAATCTTCTGTTTTATCCTCCAAAGAAACAATCCTGTTTTCCACAGTTGTAGATGGCCGATATGCACTTGATGCAATTTACTGCATAGGTGTGGTTACCCTGTACATTACTGCGGCTGTTATTTTTTACGATCTCTTCATGTTTTATTTAAATTAGACCGTTCCACGGAATTCCCCCGCCATACTTAATTCGAAATTTATTATGTCACCCGACGCGAATTTTCAGCAGAAAAAGTGGCCACATAACAGTTACGGTTCTATCTGATCTTCGAGCTTTTTGGGTTCTAATTTAAATAAAAGATCGATAATTGGGTTATCTATCGTGGGACTGGAATGACGACCACTGCAACGTGCAAACTCACCCATAAATAGACTTTTCAAAAAGTTATTGACCTTCGGTGGGTTGAAAACGCTGTTTTAATTTTTATTGGTTCGTGCGTCCGTTTTTGGATCCTTTACCATTTACGAAGCCGCTCGATGGATAAGTAGGCAGTACTGGGTCGGGCTATCTTTAAACGAAAATCGCCCACATTTATCTCCCAGCCTAACAAAACGAAAATTTATGCTAATTTCGAGAAGCTAATCGGCTACTCTGCGCTAATTTAAATGAGAAGAGGTTTTGTTTGGAATTTTTCGAGCCCGCAAATTGAGTTGCTTTTTTGGGGTGCTATTATTTATGGGTTCATATGTTGAGAGATTAGAACTTAAGTGGATTTCTCTCACTTATCTACCTGCATCCTGCGCATTTAATTAAATGTATCCTACCTAGCAAAACAGGCTCTGTCAATTTAATTAAATTTTGATTGATAAAATAAAGTGCTTAATGATGTAAATTAACAGCTCAAGAAACCATAATATGCGAAAAATACAACTTTGATGACCAGCGCGAGGTTTGATAACTTAGTCGAATAATTTGATCCTGCGGTTGGAGCAAAACCGGCTCGTAAAAACGCACACCCAGTATATAAAATAAAAACGATATTGACTTTGTTCACAAAAGGAAAACTTCTTAATTACGAGTCAAGCTTCAAGCGGAGAAAAACTGGCAGTGCAGCTGTGTTATTAAAACGTCCGTCGCCATTTATTTTTTGTTTAAAAAAAACTCAATTAATATTGTCACTACGGAAAAATACTCACAGTTTGTCGATACGGTGCTCAGGGTGGTCAAAAATATACAAAATAGGACTACACTTCTGCGAACTTTAGCCATAGCGCAATCTACCCTTCTGCTCTTCTGCGTCTCACAATTCGCGAATTTGTTTCAAAGTCACGGTCAAGAAGACTTCTTATACAGGCCGGCAATTTCCCCCGCCACCACGAATGCAAAAAGGCAAAATTGTACATTTTAAGTTCGTACGGTTTTCCTTTCGAATTAGGAGATTCTGTAAGGAGGATAACTGTTGTTCTGGATTTTTTACAGTTGGTGCATGGGTTGTTTCTGTGAAAACAAGTTTTAGAATTCAGGATGCAACGATTTTACATTATATTAAAATGTAGGAGGATTTGCGGTGCATTTTTGGGTTAAACTGTAAAACATGATGCAGTTCGTGGGGAATTTTTTGGATGATGCATGTGTGGTGTTTTTTAGGTTCTGGTTTATTTATTTTTGTCTCGCTAGGTCTGCTGCTAAGGACGATAATTTATAACGATTACGGGTCTACATAAAAGTAAGAGAACCGCCATAATCTGGCTATCTTGAGACATGATCATGAGTTATTCCCTTGTAGAATAAGTACTTAAGTAAGAGATTTTCTTCAGTTGCTTTGCTATGTGACTACGTTTACATGTGTATGCTTCAGCTGGTTTGGTGCAAATACAGTGTGGTTAAAAATAAAAACGTCGAAATAGTACACTAAATCAAGCAAATCTGCGGTTTTTTATTGCGAAAATTTTTGGAACTTTGTGTGGTTTCAATTGTTTCCAGTATTTGAAAAATTTGTAAAACTTTGCTTGCCTATTCATATATGGCAATTTTTGTTTTTTTGTTTGAAATTGAATTCAAGTCAAATTTTTTTCGAACCAGCACGTCGAAACTATATCCCAGAATTTTTTGTGAATTTTTAAGCAACTTTTTCAAAATGTCAATTTTCCAATACATCCAGTGAAAATGATATGAAATTTCGACCCAATTTCGACCATCTTCGAAAATTACCTAAACACATTTTCTTGTGGGTCACAACCTTTAGAAGTTACTTTCGGTCTGATTTCTTGGATACTTCCTTTCATTTTTTCAGAATTGTCAATTAAAGTATGACAATTTTTGAGATTTAAAAAAAATCGAATTTCACGCCGAATATTTGGAAATCGTGATCTGAAATTTTAAACAAAATACATTTAATAGACAACTTTTTCGAAATCCCAATTTTCCTTATAAAAATTTCGACCCGTTTTCGACCATTTTCGAAAATTACCTGAACACATTTTCTTGTAGATTTCACCCTCTAGAAGTTACTTTTGGCCTGATTTCTTGGATACCTTCTACCATTTTTCCAGCAGCGCTTATTGAAATAGACAATTTTTGGACTTTTTTTGAAAAATTTTATTTCAAGCCGAATATTTCGAAAATCATGATCCGAGAACACAAACTTGCTTTATGTTTCGAAACAACACGTCGAGATTTATATTACAGGATTTTTTGTAAATTTTTAAACAACTTTTTCAAAATCTTAATTTTCGAATGAAAATTTCAACCCATTTTCGACCATTTTTGAAAATTACCTAAACACATTTTGTTGTAGCTGTCGACGTCTAGAAGTTACTTTCAGCCTGATTTATTGGATACTTCCTACCATTTTTTCAGAATTGCCAATTAAAGTATGGCAATTTTTGAGATTTAAAAAAAAATGAATTTCTAGCCGAATATTTGGAAATCGTGATCTGAAATTTTAAACAAAATACATTTATCGAAACAGCACATTGAGATCTATATCCCAGAGTTTTGTGTGAATTTTTAGACAACTTTTTCGAAATCCTAATTTTCCTTATAAAAATTTCGACCCATTTTCAACAATTTTCAAAAATTACCTGAACACATTTTCTTGTAGATTCACCCTCTAGAAGTTACTTTTGGCCTCATTTCTTGGATACCTTCTACCATTTTTCCAGCAGCGCTTATTGAAATAGACAATTTTTGGACTCTTTTTGAAAAGTTTTATTTCAAGCCGAATATTTCGAAAATCATGATCCGAGAACACAAACTTACTTTATGTTTCGAAACAACACGTCGAGATTTATATTACAGGATTTTTTGTAAATTTTTAAACAACTTTTTCAAAATATTAATTTTCCAATGAAAATTTCAACCCATTTTCGACCATTTTTGAAAATTACCTAAACACATTTTGTTGTAGCTGTCGACGTCTAGAAGTTATTTTCGGCCTGATTTCTTGGATACTGCCTACCATTTTTCCAGAATTACCAATTAAAATCTGGCGATTTTTGGGATTTTTAAAAAATTTGAATTTCAAGCCGAATTTTTCGAAAATTGTGATCCGTCATTATAAACGTTCTACATTTATCGAAACAGCACATCGAGATTTATATTCCAAATTTTTTTGTGAATTTTTAGACAGCTTTTTCGAATTCCCAGTTTTCCAATACATGAAAATCCAACGGTTCCTTATGAATATTTCGAACTATTTTCGACCATTTTTGAAAATTACTGAAACACATTTTCTTGTAGATTTCAACCTCTAGAAGTTACTTTTGGCCTGATTTCTTTTTGAAGAATTTGAAAGAATTTTGAAGGCACCTGGTGTTTTATTTTTGGAAGAATTTCATAGAATTTTGGGGACTTTGGTGTCTCTTTTTGATATAATTTAAAGAATCTTGGGGCACCAGGTGTTTTTTTAAGAATTTTGCAGCTGCGAGTTTTTTTTTGTAATATTTTAAAGAATGTTAGTGTTTATTTTTTGTAAACACTCTAAAACATTTTGAGGGCCCCTGGTCGTGTTTTTAAAATAATTTTGAAAAAATCTTTTAAATTTGTGATTTAAAAGAGTTTTGAATTCGCGTTTTTTTTTTAATAATTCAAAAAATTTGCGAGCCCATGGTGTATTATTTTTTGAAGAATTTAAAAGATTTTGGGAGTAGCTGGTATTTTATTTTTAGTAATACATATTTTGAAAGTTGGTGTTTTTTTTTTTGGGAGAAGTTCAAAGAATCGTGGGACACTCTGGTGTTTTATATTTGGAAGAATCTGATAAAATCTTAGGGCCTCTGGGTGCCTCATTTTCAAATAATCTAGGAAATCTTGGGGTACCAGGTGCTTTTTTTCAGAATTTGGGAGCCGCCAGTGTTTTTGTTTGTAATAATTTAAAAAATGTTAAGCAGTGTTTAATTTTTGTAAACACTCCAAAAAAAGTTTGAAGAAACTGGTGTTTTGTTGCTGGATGAACTTGAAAAAATCTTTTGAGCTTTTGGTGTTTTATTTTTCACAAATTTGAAAAAGTCTTGAGTGCCAAGGTGTTTTTTGTTTTTTGTTTTTTTTTTTTTTAATTCAGGAGACTCTTAAGTACCCATGGGCATTATTTTGGAGACTTTTTTGTAAATTATTTAAAAGAATTTTTGGGGGACTTTGGTGTTCCATTTTTGGAAAATTTGCAAACATTCGGGGAAATTCTGCTGACCTGTTTTTGAATTAATTTTGGGACACCGGTTTTTTTTTTATTTAAAACAATCTTGAGGTTCTAGGTATTCCTGTTTAGAAAGGATTTGAAAGTGCTTTAGAACCTCTAGTGTATTTTCTTATAATAATTTAATCAAATTTCTTAGAGGATACGTCATTTGCCAAATAAGTTTTATCTTAGCAGGCAACTTTTTCAAAAACTCAGTTTTCCATTATGAAAATTTCGACCCATTTTCGAGCATGTTCGAAAATTACCTAAACACATTTTCTTGTAAATTTCGACCTCCAGAAATTACTTTCGGCCTCATTTCTTGTTGTTTTTCGATTTTTTTTAATAGAATTTTAAGTTAAATATTTCGAAAATTGTGATCCGAGATAACAAACGTGCTATATTTTTCGAAACAGCACATTGAGAATTTTTTATGAATTTTTAGACAACTTTTGCGAAATCCCAATTGTCCAAAATATGACAATCCAATACATACTTCTGAAAAATTTCGACTTATTTTCGACCATTTTCGAAAATTACGAACACATTTTCTTGTAAATTTCGACCTCTAGAAGTTACATTCGGCCTGATTTCTTGGATACTTCCTACCATTTTTCCAGAATTGCCTATTGAAATATTGCAATTTTTGTTTTTTTTTAATTTGAATTTTAAGCAAATATTTCGAAAATCGTGATCATAAACTTGCTATGTTTTTGAAACACCATTTCGACAGAATTATTTGTGGATTTCTACATAACTTTTTCAAAATATCAATTTTCCAATGCGAAAATTTCGACACAATTTCGACCATTTTCGAAAATTTTCTAAACACATTTTCTTGTAGATTTCGACCTCTAGAAATAAGTTTCGGCTTCATTTATTGGCTACCTTCTACCACTTGTCCAGAATGGCTTTTTGAAATATGACAGTTTTTGGGATTTTATAAAAAAATTGAATTTCTAGCCGAATATTTCGAAAATCGTGATCCGAGATTATAAACGTGCTATATTTTTCGAAACACCACGTCGATATCTATATCCCAGATTTTTTTCAGAATTTTTAGACAACTTTTTTAAAATTTCAATTTTCCAGTACGAAAATTTCGACCCAATTTCGATCATTTTCGAAAATTACCTAAACACATTTTCTTGTAGATTTGGACCTCTGGAAGTGATTTTCGGTTTCATTTCTTGGATATTTCCTATTCACTTTTCCAGAATCATCCATTGAAATATGACAATGTTATGGGATTTTTTCAAAAATTTTAATTTCAAGTCGAAAATTTCGAAAACCGTGATCCGAGATCACAAACAAGCTATATTTTTCGAAACAGCACGTCGAAATCTATATCTCAGATATTTTTTTTTTAATTTTTGACCTACTTTTTTAAGTATCGATTTTTCAATATATATCCCTTACAAAAATTATGATCCAATTTGGCCCATTTTATTCTATTTTAAGCTCAATATTTTGAAAATTGTTAGCCGAGATAACAAACGGGCTATATTTTTGGAAACAGTACGTCGAAATCTATATCACAGATTTTTTTTTTTTTAATTTTTGACCAAACTTTTATAAGTATCAATTTTTCAATACATATCCCTTACAAAAATTTTGACCCAATGTCGATCATTTCCAAAAATTACCTGAACACATTTTCTTGTAGATTTCGACCTCCAGAAATTCTTTTCAGCTTCATTTCTTGGATATCTCCGACATTTTTCCAGAATCCCTTATTGAAATACGGCACTTTTTGTTTTTTTTTTATTCTATTTTAAGCTAAATATTTCGAACATTGTGAGCCGAGATAACAAACGGGCTATATTTTTGGAACCAGCACATCGAGATCTATATCCTAGAATATTTTGTGAATTTTTAGGCAACTATCGCGAAATCTCAATTTTCCAAAATATGAAAATCCTTATGAAAATTTTGAACTATTTTCGACCATTCGAAAATTACTTGAAAACATTTTCTTGTAAATTTCGACTTCTAGAAGTTACTTTCGGCCTGATTTCTTGGATATTTCCTACCATTTTTCCAGAATCATCCATTGAAATATGACAATGTTTTGGGATTTTTTCAAAAATTTCAACTTCAGTTGAAAATTTAGAAAACCGTGATCTGAGATCACAAACACGCTATATTTTTCGAAACAGCACGTCGAAATATATATCTCAGAATTTGTTTTTGAATTTTTTACCGACTGTTTTAAGTATCGATTTTTCAATATACATATATATCCCTTACAAAAATTATGATCCAATTTGGACCATTTTCAAAAATTACTTGAACACATCTTCTTCTAGATTACGACCTCCAGAAATTCTTTTCAGCTTCATTTCTTGGATATCACCTACCATTTTTCCAGAATCCCTTATTGAAATATGGCAATTGTTGTTTTTTTTTATTCAATTTTAAGCTCAATATTTTGAAAATTGTAAGCCGAGATAACAAACGGGCTATATTTTTGGAAACAGTACGTCGAAATTTATATCACAGATTTTTTTTTTTTTTTTATTTTTGGCCAAACTTTTATAAGTATCAATTTTTCAATACCATATCCCGTACAAAAATTATGACCCAATTTGGACCATTTTCAAAAATTATCTGAACACTTTTTGTTGTAGATTTCGATCCCCAGGAAATACTTTCGGCTTCATTTCTTGGATATCTCCTACCATTTTTCCAGAATCGCCTATTGAAACATTGCAAATTTTCGGATTTTCTAAAAATTTGAATTTTAAGCCAAATATTTCGAAAAGCGTAATTCGGGATCATAAACGTGCTACGTTTTTGAAACACCATGTCGAGATCTATATTCCAAAATTTTTGTGGATTTTTACACAACTTTTTCAAAATGCCAATTTTCCAATACGAAAATTTCGACCCATTTTCAACCATTTTCGAAAATTACCCAAACACATGTTCTTGTAGATTTCGACCTGTAGAGGTAACTTTAGGCCTAATTTTTTGAATATCGCCTACCACTTTTCCAAAATCGCCTACTGAAATACCAAGAATTTTAGGAATTTAAAAAAAAATTGAATTTCAAGCAGAATATTTCGAAAATCGTGATTCGAAATCAGAAACGTCCCATATTTTCCCAAACAGCACGTCCACACTATATCCCAGAATTTTTGTGAATTTTTAGGCAACTTTTTCAAAATTTCAGTTTTCCACGAAATGAAAATTTCTACGATTTCTACCAATTTTCGAGCAATTTTTCGAAAATTACTTAAACACATTTTCTTGTAGATTTCAACCTCTAGAAGTAACTTTCGACCTCTTTTCTTGGTTATTTCTAACATTTTTCCAGAATCACCCACTGAAATATGGCAATTTTTGGGATTTTAAAAAAATTTGAACTTCACGTCGAAAATTTCGAAAATCGTGATCCGAGATCACAAACGTGGTACATTTTTCCCAGAATTTTTTGTGAATTTTAATGTAATTTTTTCAAAATTTCAATGTACTCTCTTTTTTTTCATAAAATTGGATTTGTTTACTTGTACATACTTCAGGGCCGAGAGAAGTTACGTCTAATAACATGAAACTAATTTTTTTTACCACACGTAATTAAACCACAAGTAATCCAGTGGCTGCGGAGATTTTATATGTAGTAAAATCTCTATCTGCCGTATTTGTGGTTTATGAATCCGTTTTGACTTTTTACCCTAGGCGTGCACATCGCAAAAGTCGCAGGTTCCATCCTCTTATAGGCCACATTTTTGTCGTTGTAAAGATAAGACTAATTTTGGCAAATGATATATCCTTTAAGAAAATAGAGGGTGGGTGGGCGGGGCTTGTATTTGCTAAGATAAGACTGATTTTGGCAAATGATATACCCTTTAAGAAATTTTCAGAATTTTTTCGGAATTTTTAGGCAACTTTTTTAAAATTTCAATTTTCCAAGATTTTTCTTGTGAAAATTTCGTCCCATTTTCGACCATTTTCAAAAATTACCTAAACACATTTTCTTGTAGATTTCGGCTTCTAGAAGGAATTTTCGGTTTTATTTCTTGTATACCGCCTACCATTTTTCCAAGATCACCTAGCGAATTATGGCGATTTTTGTGGTTTTTTAAAAATTTGAAGTTGAAGCCGAATATTTTGAAAATTGTGATCTGAGATTACAAACGAGCTATATTTTTCGAAACACCACGTCGAAATCTATATTCGAGATTTTTTTGTGAATTTTCAGGCAACTTGTTCAAAGTTTCAATTTTCCCTTACGAAAATTTCGACCCAATTTTGACCATTTTCGAAAATTGTCTGAACATAGAAGTGAATGTCACCATCATTTCCTGGGTATCTTGTCCTGTTTTTCCATGTAGAAGTATGGCAATTTTTTCGATTTTTAAAAAAATTTGAATATCAAGCCGTATATTCTATTTATAAATTTTTATTCTAGACATTTTTCCGCAGACTGATTAATATTTGTCGAGATATTTGAAAATTTCAGGTTTCATATCATCCTGTTAATATTAGGTTTCCAGAACGATTTCATGAGTAAGCAATAACTATGATTTATTTTCTGTGGTGTCATCTAACGCAGGAAAGAAGAAACAAGTCACGTGGACGCCATTTTTGTATATAGGACTTTTTGTAAAAAATTAACTTCATTTCAGTTTTTTAGTCAACACTCCTGTATTTCCATTTTTAAGATGCTTTTCCTCCTTAAAATAATTCTCTTTTCAAAAAATTGAAATTCTTTGTGATTAATTTATAATGAAAAGAACTCATTTTTCTAACCAATTTACATAATTATATTTTTTGTATTGTGTTGTGTGATGTTATTTATTTCTTGCTAAATTAATTACATATTCACATTTTATATACAGGATGTTCTACTTTAACTGACTATCATTGTTTCAAAACTACTACGCATATAATTTCAGATTTCCTATTACATAAGAGAATTTCCAATAGAAAATTTTCTAATAACCACCTTAAAAAAACAACTAAACAAAAATTTGAGATTTTATTAAAAACCTCTACTTTTGAAGAGAAATGGAGCTTTTAAGTGAGTTATCATAAGAAATGGTGGGGGTATTTTCAAAATTGTTGAATTTATTACAAGTTTCTGTAAGCTTTACCCACAAATTAGATTTTTTTCAAAAAACTGGCGCCGTTTTTGATATATCGCCGTCAGGGGTTTTACTGCAACACCCTATACTTTTTTTTTAAATTTGACTCACTCTATATTCCATTGAGAGATCTATTACATGCATTTCGCTAACCTCGAGCTAAATTACGTTCGTTATTCACATACTAAAACAGTTTCCACAATATTGCAAAATTTCAGTCAAGCTCAAGGTTGAAAAATAGAAATTTGGAGAAAAGCTACTGAATACATGCCTGACCCCGATCTGCCATCACAAAACCACCCAATCCGAAACCAGACAATATTTAAATTTGAAAAAAAAAGGCACGAAAAAATAGGCCACCCGTAGCCCATATTTCGAAACCCATGAAAAAAAAACAAGTGAAATGAAAGCAAAAAAAGGCAGTCCCGTTAATTCAATACAAATTGGGAGCGCGAACCCTTCCGAAGTGGCGCGTTTTCGCCCGATCGAATCTTTTCTCAGCCGAAGAGTAGACAGCAGCCATCTTGGTATGTCCAGGGAGTGAACAGTTAGAAAACATTGGTGTTAAAATAGTGCTCTCGAAAAAAACCGTCGCGTTATTAGGGGTCCTAAATTCCCAGTTAGTGAGCCTTATGGCGTGTCTAAACACCCTCAAGCAAGAAATAAGAACATTAGAAGGATTCTTTTCCAAAAACCATGAACGATTTCAGATCGTGTCCGCGAGTGTTGACGAGTTGAGTTGTAGATTTATAGGAAAAAACGGGAAAAAATACGAAATTCACGCGAACATCACGGTAAGGTTTAGGTTTAGCTAGGCTGGCAGGCCGAAATCTTGGCCCAAATCCTGGAGGTTTAAAAGTGTAGACGATAACAAAGAGTATAGCTATCCTTGTTGCTTTTTTTGACATTTAACATATGTAGGCTAAAAACAACCAGCTCGGGTGCTCTCACGACGACACGTTGCAGGAAACCTACCCGTCTGTGCCCCCTGTGTGGTTCGCCGACTCCGAAGAAACTAGTATTACGAATGCCGTGCAGATTCTAAGTAACACTGAAGGCTTAGACAACCATGTCCTCCATCAAGTGTCGATACTTCTTAGGGAACTATGCCGCTTACATGCCGTCCCGGAGCCCCCCGACTTAGATAGGCTGCATATCCCAGATCCACAAACAACAAATCGGTAATTGGTCATGCTCATTCCTAGCTTGTAGATGTGGATGTACTTGAAACGCTAATACTGATAGCGCGCTTGTTTACACTCAAGGATTACAATAGGCAACTATTAATTCTTGCAATAACGGAACGTTATCGCCAACCAGGCTTAAGTTATTGATTGCCGTATTTAAAATCCATCAATCTATCTAAACAAGGGTACATATTCTCCATTTGCAACCCACATAGCTTATGCTAAGATTATTGTGGTTAAAGTGAATCATAAATGACAAAACATTTACCAACCAAACACTATTATGTTTGTAATAAGGAGCTATTATTAACCCAAATTTAAACCTGTGTTGAAAACTAGTTACTCCCAATTAGGGAACTCTTTGTTAGCCGTACTACAAACCAAGCTTTACATAATTACCGTGCTTTCTTGCAGCAGCAACAATTTATAAATAACCACATCTAAAACAGATCGCGTGGTTTTGGGGAAATCAATAATTGAGTTATGCAACACAATATACACGCCACCTAAAAAGGTCCATAGAAAATCACGTTCCACATTTTCAAGTCTTTCCACATTAACTGCAGATAAATTATGCATGTATAATGCAATTTTGCATTGTGAAAGTGTCTACACTTGGTTGATTACAATCAAATATTCAACAAAATTCCTGCAGCTGTTTTATAACAGCAAATTTGCTTCAAGGTTATGGTCACGACGTCATTTTCAGAAATTGGAATTGCGCTTCTATGTGCCGTTTCAAAAATTGCTTAGTTGACCATTATGGTAATGACCTAGGTGGGACACCTGGTTCTGGGGAGGATTAGGGAGTTTCGCTTTCTAATGTTTCACGCTGGATTTTTTAGTGCCAACTTTCTAACTCAGAGCATGTTTTTGGTTATTCTGGGTAAATTTCGTTTTAGAAATGGTTTCGTACGTCAAAACTAATATTTGGTGTAGCTTCAAAGTAATTTATTGCATATTTTTACGTTTTATGCTTCAGGTTAAATGTAATAATTGGTTAAGTATTTCGCACAAACAACTAACTGGAAAAAACTTTGTAGTACATGGTCATAGATAAATTGTTATATATTTGTACCCACAAAAAAGAACATAAAAAAACACTTTGTGTGGATAATTGTCTGTAAAACTTTTTTACCGATTTATCTTGGATAGGTCCGGCTTTGAACGTTGTTGATAGTTGGTGAAGCTGCAACTTCGCTCTATACTTTGACAGTTTTGAAAGATTATTACAATGAATGTAATTCTGGTCTGGACAGACGCTCGAGCTGATGTGTGCTATGTTTGTGGTTTTCTTGGTTTACTTCCTCGTCTTGTCAGAAATTGCGAAGTTAGAGATGTATTGTGTGTTGCATAATTCAGCTTGATTCAATTGTATCTCGACTTTGTGGTGATTTGTTGCGAGTGAAGCTAATCAAAATACGAAATAGTGAAATAGATAAGGGTTTTTACTTTTTAATGGAAGTGTGGTAATAGTTGAGTTTGGTTGTTGCATATTTCGTTTGAGTAATTTCTGGACACAGTGTATTGCTTATAATGAAGTTGGTGTTCTCTAAGATTAATATGAAAATGATAAACAATAGTTCTTTCCTTTCAAATAATTGATGACGTCATATCAAACTGAAATGCGTGTCATCTCGTTGTAGGGCATGTGAAAGAATATAACACAGAATAAAATATAAAAACCAAAATCTGTACTAGATTTATTAGAGTATTAAAGTAACAGAACACACAATTTAAAAAAAAAAAAAATACGTTATTGAAGTATCTTAAGTTTAATTTAATCTTATTATGGCACCGAATTTTGAAGTTTCAAATTCCTTAAAATTTTTCCATTTCGTAATTTTTGGTTTTTTCGGTTTTTCAATTTGCAGATATTAATTTTTCGACTTTTAAATTTTGACTCTTCAGTTATCCGATGTTTCAGTTTCTCTATTTTATCAGTTTTTCCATTTCCGGAATTTTTAATTTTACAATTTTTAGATTTTTCAATTTTTCAATTTCTATTTTTTTTATTTTTCGTTTTTCGATACATTCATGTTACAATTATTTTTCGTTTCTGTTTTCCGATTTTTCAATTTGTAGATATTTTTTTCGATTTTCCATTTTTCAATTTCAACGATAAAATTTTTCGATTTTTAAATTTTTGATTTTCCAATTTCTTTATTTTGTCAGTTTTCGTTTCGGTTTTAATTTTGTAATTTTTCGATTTTTCTTTTTTGCATTTTTTCGTCTTTCCAATTTCTCATTTTTTTTTATTTTGCAGTATTACAATTTTTTGATTTTTCCATATTTTCAGTTTTCGATTTTTCGATAAACCGATTTTTGCATTTCTCTGGATATTCAGTTTTCGATGTTTAAATTTTTCGACGTTTCATCAGTGTTACAATTTTTTAAATTCTCAATTTTTCGCTTTTTCAATTTTAATTTTTCGATTTTTCAATTACCTATCCGATTTTTCAGTTCCCCTATTTAGAGAATTTTTCGATTTTCAGTTTTAAAATTTTTCTGTTTTTCGATTATTCATTTTTCTAATGTTTCTATTTTGCAATTTTTCGAATTTTCCATTTCTCGATTTTAATTTTTTTTATTTCAAAGTTATAATTTTTCAATTTACGGTTATTTGTCCGATTTTTTAGTTTCCTCATTTTCTCGATTCTTCAATTTCAAATTTTTTCTTTTCAATGTTTCATTTCTTTGTTTTTCAGTATCTCAATTTTTCCATATGTTACAATTTTCTGTTTCTTTTTTCGATTTTTCAATTTCAAGATATGTATTTTTATTTTTCGATTTTTCACTTTTTGATTTTCCTGTTATACGATTTTTCAATTCCTCATTTTTTTTTTAATTTCGTTATTATATAATATAATTATAATATATAATTTTTAGATTTATCCATTTTTGTTTTTTCAATTTCTTTTTGTCAATTTTTCGGTATCTCTATTGTCAATGTTTCGTTGTGATTTTGCATTTTTTTTTCCGATTTTTCATTTTTTAGTTTTAAGGTGGTTCATATTTCGATTTTTCACTTTTTGATTTTCCTATTATCAAATTTTTCAGTTTCTCCGTTTTTTTTTATTTCCCAATTTTTTATTTCAATGTTTTTGTTTTCGATTTTTCAATCGAAAACAAAAACAATCCATTGAGAATTTTTCGATTTCTCAATTATTTTCAGTTTTAAAATTTTTCTGTTTTTCGATGATTTGTTTTTTCAATTTTTCTAGTTTACAATTTTTTCGACTTTTCAGTTGCTGAATTTTTCGATGTATGTCTGTTTATTTTTATTTTTCGTTTTATCGTTTTTTAACTTATTAATTTCAAAGTTACAATTTTTCGATTTACAGTTTTTGATTTTTTGATTATCCGATTTTTTAGTTTCTTTGTTTTCTCTCTTCTTGAATTTCAATGTTTCATTTCTTTATTTTTCAATTTTTTTATATATCCATGTTACAATTTTACGAGGTTTCAGTGTTACAATTTTTCGATTTTTCATTTTCTGATTTTCCAATTATATGATTTTTCAGTTTCTCCATTTGTTTTATTTCCCAATTTTTTCCATGTTATAATTTTTCGATTTTTCAATTACCCTATTTTTCAGCTTATTTTGAGAAATTTTCGATCACTCAATTATTTTCAGTTTTAAAATGTTTCTGTTTCTTCAATTTTTCTAGTTTAGAATTTTTCAATTTTTCAGTTTCTCGATTTTTCGATATTGGAATTTCTCGATTTTTAATTTTTCAATTTCAGTGTAACAGTTTTTCGTTTTTACTCTTCTCCAATTTCGTGATTTTCCAGTTTTAAACTTTTTCATTTCAATTTTTGATTTTTTTAAATTTGTCGAAGTTATACTTTTTTTATTTTTTTCAAATTTTCAGTTGTTGATTTTTCGATAATCCGATTTTTGAATTCCTCTATTTCTTCAATTTTCGATGTTTGAATTTTCCGATTTTCCAGTTTTTAATTAACGGACTTTTCAGTGTTTCAGTTTTGCAATTTTTCGCATTTTCAGTTTCTAGATTTTTCATTTTTCAATTTTTCGATGTTTCAATGTGACAATTTTTAAAATTTTCAGTTTTTCGCTTTTCAATTTTTGATTTTCCTATTACATATTCAATTTTTATTTTTGAAATTTTAATGTTATAATTTTCGATTTTCCAATTCCCTACTCGATTTTTCAGTTCCTCTGTTTTGAGAATTTTTCGATTTCTTAATTATTTTCAATTTAAAAATGTTTCTGTTTTTCGATTTTTCATTTTTTCATGTTTCACTATTTTGCAATTTTTCGATTTCTCAGTTCCTCGATTTTAATTTTTTTAATTTCTAGGAATTTTTATTTGTTGTTTTTTCAATTGTTCGATTTTTCAATCTTTGATTTTCTTAATATCTGATTTTTTAGTTTCTCAAATTTTCGATTTTACAATTTTGCATTTTTTCGACTTTTTAATTTCTCCAATTTTCATATTTTAATTTTTCAGTGTTTCAATGTTACAATTTTTTGAATTTACGGTTTTTCGAATTTCCAATTTTTGATTTTTTAATTTATCGGTATTTAAATGTTTCGATTTGACAATTTTGTTTTTTTTTCGTCATTTCAGTTTCTCCAGTTTTGATATTTTAATTTTTAGTGTTTCAATTGTATAATTTTTTAATTTAACAATTTTTCGAATTTTTAATTTTTGATTTTTTAATAACCTGATTCAATTTTTCAATGTTGAATTTTTCGATTTTTATTTTTTTAAATTATGTATGTTACACTTTCAATTTCTCAAATTTCCAGTTTGAAAATTTTTGGGTTTTTTTTTAATTTTTAATGTATCAATTGTTCATTTTTTCAGTTTTGATTTTTTACTATCCGATTTTTTAGGTTAGACATTTTCGATTCACAATTTTAATTAATCGATTTCTCAATGTTTCATTTTTACAATTTTTCGCTTTTTTAGTTTCTTCATTTTTATTTTTTGAATTTCCAGGCATTTTTATTCTGTTTTTTCAATTGTTCGATTTTGCAATTTTTGATTTTCCCAAAATCCGAGTTTTCAGAGTCTTAGTTTTTCCATTTTTCAATTTTCGATTTTTAAATCTTTCGATTTGACAATTTTGCATTTTTTCGTCTTTTCATTTCTCCAATTTTCATGTTTTAATTTTTCAGTGTTTCAATATTACAATTTTTTTATTTTTACAATTTTTCGAATTTTCAATTTTTGATTTTTTGATAATCCAATTTTTGAATTTTTTTTTTCACTTTTTCGAATTTTAGTTTTTCAAATTTTGTTACACTTTTTCGATTTCTCAAGCTTCCAATTTTAAAATTTTTCTTTTTTTCAGCTTTTAATGTATCGATTTTCAATGTTACACTTTTTCAAAATTTCGATTTTACAATTTTGCAATTTTTCTTTTTTCAGTGTTTGATTTTCCTATGATCCAATTTCAGAGTTATAATTTTTCAATTTTTTGCTTTTTCAATTGCCTGCCCAATTTTTCAGTTCCTTTATTTTGAGAATTTTTTGATTTCTCAATTATTTTCAGTTTTAAATTTTTTTGTCTGGTTTTCGATAATTTATTTTTTCATTGTTTCTATCTTGCAATTTTTCGATTTTTATTTTTTTTTAATTTCCAAGCATTTTTTCAGTTCGATTGAAATTTCGAAATCTAATCATTTTCAATTTTTAAATGATTAGATTTGACAATTTTGCATTTTTTCATCTTTTCAATTTTACAATTTTTTTTTTTGCAATTTTTGGATTTTCCGTTTTTTGATTTTATTATCCGATTCAATTCCAATGTTACACTTTTTCGATGATTTATGATTTATTTTTTCATGGTTCATATTTTGGAAAATTTTCGATTTTTTATTTTCTTGATTTTTATTTTTTTTTATTTCTAGGCATTTATATTTTTTTCCATATCCGATTTTTCATTTTCTCAATTTTTCAATTTTACACTTTTTCAATTTCTCAATTTTCCAGTTCAAAAATATTTTCAATTTTCGATTTGACATTTATGCATTTTTTTTTCAATTTCTGCAATTTTCGAATTTTAATTTTTCAGTGTTTCAATTTTACATTTTTTTGTTCAATCAAGAACTTTAAAAATTGAGGAAACGAAAAATGTAAAAATTGTAAGATCAGAAAATTGCAATTCGAAAAATTGAAAAATTGAATAAACGAAAGCTTAAAATCGAAAGAAACATTGAAAAAATATAGGAAAAATTGTGGTCTAAAGTCGAGAAAATAAAAATCAAAAAATAGGGAAAATGAAAAATAAATGTCAAGAAAAAATTGTGGGAACGAAAAATGGAAAACTTTTTTTCGACGTGGAAAATTGAAAAATCGAAAAATCGGGACTCTGAACAATCGAAAAATCGAAATCTCTATAAATCGAGAAATTGAAAAATAGACAAACTGAAAGTAAATCTAAAATTAAAAAAACGGAAAAATTGACAAATAGAAAAATCAGAACTGAAAATTCGAAAAGTCGAAAAATCTAAAATTTAAAAAATCGAAGAATTGAAAAGTTGGAAGATCTAAAAATTAAACAATTGAGAAAACTGAAAAATCGAGAGATCAAGAAATGGGAAAATCGAAAAATGGATGAATCCAGAAGTGAAAAAATTGAGAAATCGAAAACTTACGAAGGAAAAAACTGAAAAATCGAAAAAGTGAAAAATCTAAAAATGGAAAATAACAAACTGAAATACGAGAAAATTGAAAAATTGAAGAATCAAAAAAACGAAAAATCCCAAAACTCGAATACCAAAAATTGAAAAATGAAGTAATTGACAAACAGAATTTTTAAATTAAAAAATCGATAAATCGAAAAATAAAAATTTTTAAAAATCAAAAAAATGGAAAATCTGAAACCTAGAAGTCAAAAAATCGAAAGACCGAAAAATCGAAGCAGGGAAAAATTGAAAAATCTATAATTTAAAAAGTGGAAAAATTGACAAATTAAAAATTAGAACTCAAAATCGAAAAATTTTTCCAGTTTCTCTATTTGTTCATTTTTCGGAGTTTTGAATTTCTCGGTTTTTAATTTTTCAGTTTCAATGTTATAGTTTTTCGATTTCTAAATTTTTCAATTTTTAATTTTTGGATTTCTCAAAATTCCAGTCCTTTTCGTTGAAAACTGGTAAAATTGATTGATTAAAAAATCATAAACTCGGAAAACCTAAGAAAATTCAAAAATTAAAAAATCGGTGTCAATTAAAAAAATGCTCAGATCACAATATAAGTGACTTTGTTCACAAAACATGCAGTATAATAAATCCAATTCAATAAACACACCTAAATATGAATAAAAACTGTTACAACAATTCTTGTGATTAATATTATTTGTCTTGAAGATTTCCAGTCCCACTAGGATCAGTGTAATTAATTTTTGGCAGTTTCAGACAGACAGACGCCAGTGCGTATTAGTATCAGACTAGAGTGCTTTTAGTATAATTAAAGCACTAAATAACAAAATCTCAGTCATTTATCCATTATAACATTGAAACCTTTCACAGGATAAGTGCTGCTGACGAGTTAATGGAAGATGAAGGCCTTGATAGCGAAGCCGACGGTGATATCGCCGACAGTGATGCAGAAGAAGATAGTGATGCGGACGAAGACTTGGCTATGGAAATGGAAGACAGCCGACCGAAAGCAGACGAGATGGGTGTTGAACATTTGGCCACATTAGAACGCTTAAGACAAAACCAAAGGCAGGAATATTTAAAAGTAATTCTTCCCCGTCACTCAGTGTCAAATTTTTGCGCCACCGACCCCATTTTTTAACCCTTCACCAACAAAAGTCGACGTCGCAAAAAACTTTCAAGACACTTTTAATCGTTAAGTGCATCAGTGCACTTACCGACCTCGTGCGCATCACTCTACAATCGCGTCTTCTTCCAGGGATCCGTCTCGGGCTCGGTGCAAGCGACAGATCGTCTTATGAAGGAACTTAGGGACATTTACAGATCTGAATCGTTCAAAAACAAAATGTATCAGATAGAGCTCGTAAACGAATCGCTTTACGAGTGGAACATACGCCTGATGGCCGTGGATCCGGACAGCCCCCTCAGCCACGATCTGCAAATGTTGAAGGAAAAAGAAGGCAAGGACGCCATTTTACTCAACATGCTCTTCAAAGATACTTATCCGTTCGAGCCGCCGTTCGTGAGGGTGGTGCATCCCATAATCTCAGGTTGGCAACGCGACGGTTGGTACTAGTGTTGTAAACAACTGCGATTGGTGTTTCAGGAGGTTACGTCTTAGTGGGAGGGGCGATATGCATGGAACTCCTAACGAAGCAGGGCTGGTCGAGCGCGTACACCGTCGAAGCTGTCATTATGCAGATCTCAGCCACGCTAGTGAAGGGCAAAGCGCGGATTCAGTTCGGAACACCAAAAGTTTGCTCTCAAGGACAATACAGCCTCGCGCGTGCTCAGCAAAGTTTCAAATCACTTGTACAAATCCACGAAAAAAACGGTGAGTTGACGCACCGGAGACGTAGTATATGATGATGATGTCGTGTTTCAGGTTGGTTCACGCCCCCGAAGGAGGATGGTTAATTCAAGACTGTGCCAATATATATTTACCCTTCTTATTTAAAATAATGTACCCACACATCATTTGATGCCTGTTTCGTTGATTTCGATTTTCAAACTTATCTTAGTGCCTACACATCTTTGTTTCTCTAAATCAAAACGTATCAGTTTCATTCCAAATTGTGTTGTATATTAGACAAAATGACAATGTGTAGCGTTGTAAATCGGTCCGAAAATTGTTTTTTCCAAATTTGGTTTTCTGTGTAGACAGTAAAGAGTGATTGTTTGATGGGGACTGTGATGTTGTTTCATTCATGTTGGGTTCGTCTTTGTTCGGCTCCGGGGGCCCTAGTTTTTTACCAACAAAACTGTTGTCAGTAATTGTTTAATGTGCAATTACAGGTGGTTTCTGTGAAAGCGAATTTCACGTTGATTTGAATTTAGCATGACTAAGTGAATGTGATGAAGACTCATTGGCATGTAATCATTTTGTTTTCTAGTTTTTCACATCTAAGGTTTTGATCCATTTTCATTTCATGTTTTGTACAAAATGATAGTCAACCTTAGTTGATGTTTCCATACTTATTTCCTAGTTTAAAGTTAGTGTTACTTTAATTTAATTGGCAGCAAATACTGTATTTTATATTATTGTGTATTCTGTTTGCTGTAACTTCACTCTTTAAACAGTATGTGAGTCTGTGCTTTTAGTTATAAGGTCAATAAACTATTATTATAATTTCGTTGTGTTATTTGAACGTCGAACGATGGTCGGTGTATGTTTGGTTGCATATATCTCGAATTTTCTAGATGACAGTTGATCTGTCAAAAATAGGGACTTTCGCCGTGTCAAAACAGTTGCATACCCTGAAATCTGGCTTTTTATGGAGAAGTTGTGTATAAAGTGAATATCTCAAAAAAGTTATTTGTACATATCTCCGCTATTTATAATTAATTAAGGAGTAGATGAAGGTAAATACTGCGCCGTTTGAGTGTTATTTTCATTGAGATAAGTCACTGGAGGCCGATTCAGCCCCAAATCAGCTGCCTGTCTATCCCTGTTGATGTCTTCTAGAGTTAACAATTTCGTGCGTCATGCCATTCATTCCGTAAGTAAATAGAATAAACGCGATAAACGCGACGAGGGGACGCATCGATGGCCGTTTTTTCTCATCACTGCAGCCGTTTTCGAGCCAACAAATATGACAGGCGGTTGGTGAAGTCATCAAGTTCTTCAGGCTTCCCTTGTTTACAGGGTCATCAAGAGTTTGTTGAACTTTTCAGTTTTGCCTAAACCCTGGTTGTTACAAAACAGATAAAACCCTCTTAATTGCCGCAAACTCCCCATAGCTAGCGATTGAAATGATCAAAGTTGTAAACAAGTGATTGTGGCTGTAACAATGACAGTTAGGCGAAATTCCAGTGATTCGATTAATCCCGTTTCCCCAGCTGATTCTTAGCTAAAAATGTGCTTTCCTATTCTAGGATATATTATGCCACGCAATTCTAAGGACAGCAAGTATGAGAACAATGGTTCTAATAGAAGAACACACACCTACATGTCTGCTGAAGATCAAGCGGCTGGTAAAAAGTCATTTTGGACAGAATTGGAGATAACAGGGACTATACGGAATTTAAGTTCTAACCTATTTCAAATGACTCATCTTACAGCGTTATATTTAAAAAACAACTCCCTGCAACGACTGCCGCCTGATATTTGCCAGCTCGTCAACCTAAGGAACTTAGATTTGTCGTCTAACAAGCTGCGCTCGTTGCCGGCCGAGCTGGGCGAACTTATACAACTCAGGTGAGTCCGCCAAGCGCGATTAAACACCCAAAGACAAAAGAAACCACTTTTAAATTAAATTGCATCGGTTATACTTGGTACCATTTTTAAGTCGAAATATCCAGGCGCGATATTCAAACCAACAACGTGATAGTATTTGTATACATTCGTGCGATATCAGATAGGCGAAAATTTTAAATGACGTAGTACAAACAAAAAATAACTCATTTAAACACAAACAACTTGTTGTCAAATGGTTCAGGTCATATGTAAATGATTTGAATAAGCTATGTGATAATAAATTTAATATTTATCTTTTGGGTTTGCCTTAAAGTTGCGCCAATGGCATATAAATAATCCCCAATGATGCCAATAGTGTCAACATTGTTTAATTTTTTATCAAAATTTATCTCCACTAGCGTAAACAAATTTTATTTATTTTTAGGTAATTTTGATTTTCCAGACGCTAATTACGGCGTATCTGTGCTTTGAGTGATTTTAAATTAAACTGGATTTAGTTTTTTAACGATTATATTGAGTGGTGCCATCTATCTGTTAGTTCTATGATTAAGCTGAATTAAATACAGGGTGTTTCACCACCAAAGTTCTAATTCTAGTAATTTTATCCTTATTATCCGTTATAATATTTATTTTGTTGATTAATCAAATAACGTTAAGTGCATTTTGAGCACTTTTAAAAATTTACGATTGTGTTAATGAAACTTGTCACAACTCTGATAAAATTCTACAACTTAACCTTCGTGTAACAAAGGTTGATTTCGGCGTAGTATTCCGTAGTTTCGCACTACAAATGAGTCACAATAGTGTCGTTGTAGTAAAAATAGAGAAACACAAAGGTCGGTCCTTGTGTTGTGACTTTTTATGATTCAGTTAATCAGTAATGAGTTGATTGATAGCGCACCGAAGCCACGCCTTCTGTTAAGATTCATCCATCATGCATCCAGGTATCGCAAAAAGGATATTTCGACAAAAGTGACGCGTTGATTTATAGTTCCGGATGGAGTCCGTATTTGGTGAATGTAGGAATGTTATAGCCGATGCAAATTTATATTCCCATCGTACACACTCAACTTTGATTTATCTATAGTAATAAAAATGTGAAAACTCAAACCAGCTGTACACGATGCATACGTATTAGAACTAGATTTGAAGTCTCCTGGCACTTCGGTCGTCGATAACGCTTTAAACAATCCAATTTTCAGCAGTAAAAAAGCAACTTAGCAATGCTAATCAAGTGTTCACCGGGTAACTCCAGGTGTAGCCTTTTTTTCTGTTGATAACGTATACGAACTTAGTAATTTCGTACTAATTTTTATAGCCGTGTTGTGGGCCTGCTAAAGACAACTTATATAACAACACGTTTTCTTCTCTCTTTTCAAACTCTGCGTCATAAGGCCTTCAATACCTCTTCCTTCTTCCCAAGTCCTTCCTCCTCGCAGGCCGGAGTGTAAGTCCCTTGTAAATTATTATTTGGAAATAATTCCCTTTTGTAAGTTAGAGTTCGAATGTTTCAGGGAACTGCAATTGAGTCATAACCAATTAAGGATTCTGCCATATGAACTGGGAAAGCTGTTTAATCTCATGGTTCTCGGTTTAATAGGAAATCCACTCAGTAAAGACATCATGAACATTTACGCCGAGCCCAATGGGACGCAGAAATTGCTGACTTTCATGCTAGACAACCTACAAGGTAGGATTTTTATGTTAATCTAGCGCGTTATCAATTAACTTGATGGGTACGACGAGGTTTATTATTTTTATTTGTGTTGAAAGTATAACAAAATAGAATAAGAGATATTCGTCCGTTCGGGACTTGAGTACTTTTAATATTAAATAAATTCCGTAATTATGCAAAACGCAGAAGGATGTGACGGAAGACTTGGAATATTGATTAATTTAAGATTTACAAGAAGGCGATTTCTACGAAAACGACAAGACACGTGTATGGAAACGTTTTCGTTATGTAAAACACTAAACGTAAACACTATTTTATTTTAACAACTTTAGTCTTATATGCTTTATTACTTTGAGTTGGCCCCATTTTAGTTTTTTAATAATTAAGAAAACCGAAATACGTCTATAAACAATGCAAGTGAAAATAGTCTTTGGAGACTCTCTTCGCTAAATTTATTTGTTGTATATAGGTTGATAATGAAATAAAGTACAAATTTAAAAGGTCTTCTTGGGAAATAATGCGTGATTTTTTAAATTTCTGCTCTAGTTAGCCATGACGCTTATGTCAACAGTGAAATTTGAGGTAAGCGTCATGGCCAACTAAGAAGGAAATTTAAAAAATCACTCGATATAATAAGGAGGATGCGGATAAAAATGCACCTTATACATCTAACGCTTTTTATTTATTTATAGGTTTTATTTCTTTATATTATAATTTGTTACATTGCGCATGTGTTATATGTATTTTCCTGTACGCAGCGTACAGATGAGCATTTGTTGTAAGATGTCAAATTAAGGAAAAAGACTATTGCGCTTTAATTAAAAAAAAAAAAAAAAACACATTGACTAGAATAAAATACATAGTTCGAATTTATTCGATGCACAATCTCCGGAACTATTGGATTGATTGTTATCAAGTTTTATTTATATTTTATAGGATGGTACAACGATAATCACAATTTGTCTGATTATTCTCATCAATACTTTGATGATATTGTCTAAAAATTTCCCACAGTACATTTATTCAAATTTTATAGAATAACAATCCTAAATTTGCGGTTTATGAATCCGCCTCGATTTATTTAATTTATAAGTGTTATTATGAAACAAAAAAAAATTAAATTCGCAAAATCAAATTGTGAACAAACGAAAAATGAACATTCCAAAAATAGAAAAATTGTAAAAACGGAAAATTGCAAAATTATAATGGAAAAAAGGAAAATTTAAAAGTTAGAAAATTCAAGAAACGGAAAGTTTTAAAATTAAAAATATTAAAAATTGTATGATCGAAAAATTGCAAAATAAAAAATGAACAATCGAAACACTAATTAATCGGAAAATAGAAAAGTGATTAATCCACAAAAATTAGCAAACTGAAAAAACGAAAATTTGCAAAATAATAATCGAAAAAATAATTAATCGGAAAATGGAAAATCGAAAAATGAGGAAATTAAGGAAACCTAAAATTGAAGAAACGAAAAATTATTATTAGAAACGAAAAATTGGGGAATCGAAAAATGAAAAATTGCAAATCGAAAAATTTAAGAACGGAAAAATAAAAAAATTGAAAGTTGAGGAACTAAAATTTCGAAGAATCGAAAAATTTGACGTTCCAAAATTGCAAATAAAAATTTAAAGATCGAAAAATTAAAAATCAGGGAACTGAAACCGGAAATTGAACATTTCAAAATTGCAAATAAAAAATTGAAAAATCCAAAAATTAAAAATCGGGAAACTGAAAAATCGAAAAATTAGCAAACTGAAAGAAGGAAAATTTGTAAAATCGAAAAATTTACAATCGAGAAATTGGAAAATCGAAAAATCAGAAAAATTGGAAAATTAAATAAACCTAAAATTGAAGAAACGAAAAACCAAAAAATCAAAAAAGGGGGAAAATTATGAAAACTTAAAATTGAAGAAACGAAAAATTCTCATTAGAAAGGAGAAATTCAAAATTGGGAACTTAAAAAATCGAAAAATTGAAAAAATGAAAAATTGGAATTCGAAAAATTTAAGAAAGAAAAAACTAGAAAAATCAAGTCGGGGAACTGAAAATTCGAACAATTGAAAAATTGGGCGTTCCAAAATTGCAAATAAAAAAATGAAAAATCGAAAAATTAAAAATCGAGACACTGAAAAATTGTAAAATAAAAAGAAAACGGAAAATTGACAAATTGGCAAAATGGAGAACTTAATAAATCGAAAAATTGAAGAAACGAATAACAAATTAAGTATAATTAGAAACGAAAAATTGGAAAATCGAAAAATTAAAAACCCAAAAGCTGAAAAATCCAAAAATTGAAAATAATAATCAAAAAAATAATCGGAAAATGAAAAATCGAATAATCAGAAAAATGGGAAAATTAAGAAATCGTAAAATTGAGGAAACGAAAATTTAAAAATTGAGAAATTGAAAAATCGAAAAATAGTCGGAAATGGGAAAACTAAAAAATCAGAAAAATGGGAAAATTAAGAAAACTTAAAATTGAAGAAACGAAAAATTAAAATTTGGGGAGCCGAAAATTCGAACAATTGAAAAATCGGGCACTCAAAAGTTGCAAATAAAAAAATAAAAAATCGAAAAATTAAAAATCGAGAAACTGAAAAATTGTAAAATAATAAGAAAATGGAAAATTGAAAGATTGGCAAAATAGAAAACTTAAGAAATCGTAAAATTGTAGAAACGAAAAATAAATTATAATTAGAAACAAAAAATTGGAAAATCGAAAAATTAAAAATCCAAAAGCTGAAAAATCGAAAAATTGAAAAATAATAACCAAAAAAATAATTGGAAAATGGAAAATCGAATAATCAGGAAAATGGCAAAATTAAGAAATCGTAACATTGAGGAAACGAAAATTCATAAATTAAAAACTAATTGGAAATTGAAAAACCAAAAAATCAGAAAAATGGAAAAATTAAGAAAACTTAAAATTGAAGAAACAAAAAATTATCATAGAAAGGAGAAATTCGAAAATCGAAAAATTGAAAATTGGGAACCTGAAAAATCGAAAAATTTTTAAAATGAAAAATTGCAATTCGAAAAATTTAAGAAAGAAAAAAATCGAAAAATTAAAAGTCGGGGAACCGAAAATTCTAACGATTGAAAAATTGGGCATTCCAAAATTGCAAATAAAAAAATTAAAAATCGAGAAACTGAAAAATTGTAAAATAATAAGAAAATGGAAAATTGAAAGATTGGCAAAAAGAGAAAACTTAAGAAATCGCAACATTGTAGAAAAAAAAAATATATAAAATATAAATCCAAAAGCTGAAAAATCGAAAAATTGCAAAATAATAACCAAAAGAATAATGGGAAATTGGAAAATTGAAAAATCAGAAAAATAGGTAAATTAACAAAACCTAAACTTCAAGAAACGAAAAATTATCATTAGAAACGAAAAATTCGAAAATCGAAAAATTGCAATTCGAAAAATTTAAGAAACGAAAAAATAGAAAAATCGAAGAATAAAAAATCGGGGAACTGAAAATTCGAGCAACTGAAAAATTGGACATTGAATCATCCAAAATTGCAAATAAAAAAATGAAAAATCGAAAAACTAAAAATCTTTAATCTGAAAAATTGCAAAATAATAATCGGAAAATGGGAAATTGATAAATTGGCAAAATGGAAAATTTAAGAAATCGTAAAATTGGAGAAACCAAAAATTAAAAATTGAGGAATTGGAAAATCGAAAAAGTGAAAAATCAACGTACTGAAAAAAAAACGAAAAATCTACAATTAAAGAAACGAAAAATTACCATTAGGAACGAAAAATTCAAAAATTGAAAAATTAAAATTTGGAAACCTGAAAAATCGAAAAATTGAAGAAATGAAAAATAGAAAAATCGAAAAATTAAATGTGAAAGTTCGAAGAATCGAAAACTTCGACCTTTGAAAATTGCAAATAAAAAGCTGAAAAATTGAAAAATCAAAACTCGGGGAACCGAAAATTCGAACAATCGAAAAATTGGACATTCCAAAATTTCAATAAAAAAAAATGAAAAATCGAGAAATTGAAAAATTGCATAATAATAACAAGAAAATGGAAAATCGAAAAGTTGGCATAATCGAAAACTTAAGGAATCGTAAAATTGAAGAAACGAAAAATTGGAAAACTGAATAATTAAAAATCCAACAGTTGAAAAGTCGAAAAATTGCAAAATAGTAATTGAAAAATTAATTACTCGGAAATTGGAAAATTGATTAATCCACAAAACAGAAAAATTAAGAAATCGTCAAATTGAAGAAACGTAAATTTAGAAATTGAGGAATTGTAAAATCGAAAAAATAATTAATCGGAAAAAATGCAAAACTGAAAAATCAGAGAAATGGGAAAATTAAGAAAACCTAAAATTGAAGAAACGAAAAATTCGGTAATCCAAAAAAAAATAATTAAAATTGGGAGCAAAAAGTCGAAAAATTAATAAATGAAAAATTACAATTCGAAAAATTGAAAAATTAGTCGGGAAACTGAAAATGTGAACAACCGATAAATTGGACCTTCCAAAATTGCAAATAAAAAGCTGAAATCTCGAAAAATGAAAAATCGGGGAACTGAAAATTCGCACTAATAAAAAATTGGACATTCCAACGAAAAATTCGAAAATCGAAAAATTAAAAATCGAGAAACTGAAAAATTGCAAAATAATAATAGGAAAATGGAAAATTAAAAATTGACAAAACTGAAACCTTATGAAATCGCAAAATTGAAGAAACGGAAAACCGAAAAATCATCATTAGAAACGAAAATTGGAAATTTGAAGAATTTACAATGGAGAAACTGAAAAATCGAAAAATTGCAAAGTAGTAACCAAAAAATAATAATCGGAAAATGGAAAATTGAAAAATCAGAAAAGTGGGAAAATCAAGAAAACCTAAAGTTGAAGAAACGAAAATTTATCATTACAAAATTAGAAAATCGACAAATTAAAAATTGAAAAACTGAAAATCGAAAAATTGAAAAAATGAAAACTTGAAAAATCGAAGAATTAAATGTCGGGGAACTGAAAATT